AAGCTTGGCGAAAACTAAAATAAAACATAACTGATACCCAGCTAATCCAGTTTCATGGCCCCTGTGCCCTTTTTAATCAAGAGTGTGTATGCACAATATGTGCGTAATAAGTGTGTAGGTGCAGTTTCATCCAAAGTATGGGATGTAACAACTTGTACCTATACACAGCAATGTGTTTATATAGAAATTTAAGCACACATCTTAGCATGCTTAAGCAGAGAAACTAGTGATAGCAACGGTACACATAATAGGCATTTTAGAGTTCCACACTGCAATGGCTTATTTTGTGTTGTTGGACGAATTGGCAAACTATGCACAACAGAGGGCTGTTTACAAAGATCGAAAAAAAAATATAGACAACAAAACACTAATTTGAAAATTTATTAATAAAGCACAAGTATAGGTACCGCATTCCAATTTACAATCATGTGATTTAAAAGGGAATGTTGTCACTATATATGGTTAATTGTAGGTGTTTCGGATTCCTAATGCTGTAAATGTGAAAGAGCATTATGTACACATGTGATTTAATTACCAATGATCGCCTAGGTATACTTCTAAAAAAATCATAGAACCAACTCAAATTTTGTCATTTTAAAAAAATTTCTTTTTGACGTTTCAGGGCCCTATCATACACCCGGCGCAGTGTGGCGCAAGGCGTGATGCAGTAGTCTTTTAGTAGTTTAAGCTTGGTGCAAGAGTCGTTTTGAGGCGTTGCGCTACGCTGTTTGAATAGAAAATGCATTAGCGCTCATTTGTGCGCCCATAGGCGTTCTGGTCTAAAAAGGAAGGCGTTCTGAGGCGGACCGCTGGCGTGTTGCTATTTTGAGAAACTATAATAGATTTTTCATTAGACCAAAACTAACCCAGTCTAAACTCCGGCGCAGAGTTGCGCCTCGCTTACGCACTGCTTAATACACACAAGAGAGCAATAAGCAAATATCTTTACATATGAAAAATGTAACTATTCAGGATATATAAAGGACATAATAAGAATAGATATAGGATATAAATATAAAGGATTAAAATATTATAAACATATTATTTTCTAGCCTACATAAATATGAAAAATCACTGCTTTTATGTGTTCTTCATATCGAGAGGCTTTTTCAGTTCATTCATAACAATTTGCTTTTGTTTAATGTTATTATTATTAGCAGTATTATTTATTATATCCATATGTATATTTGTTTTATTAAAAACAAGCTTAGATTTGCCCACCTGTCAGGTTTTGGATCATATGGGGCACAGCATGTTTTAGGATATAACTCAGGTTTTTGAGCACATTTTGTTATTATTATTCATTTATTAGTTTGCTGGAAATTAGAACTGAATTTAGAAATAGTTTTGAAACAAATATTTGCGCTTAACAAACAAAAGTATTTATTTATAGACTAATTGATGTCTGTGCGTAAAGGTTTCCCTATCCAAGAGTGAAAGTGATCTTTTATCTCTCATTTTCACGCAGTAGATGCTCTGTTTAACAGTTTTCTGTTAAAAAACTGTTAACTGTTAACTGTTTGCTTGTGAAATGCTCATTTTTTCTACTTAGACTTACTTTGCGTCCTGTAAATAGTGAATGCGCTCTTGGCCCGACGCTGCTTACTCTTAAAAGGAATGGGAGATGAGACTGTAATTGGTTTATTCTTAAAACACACCTATAACTCATTAAGAAAATAAACTCAACCCTTTTAGACCATGCGCCGAAGCGCAAGGCAGATTTCCCGTCCTTAAATTAGCAAAAACGCGTCCTGACACGCCCTGAAAGCATTTGCGCCCTGCGTTTTGCGCATGGACCGTCAAAATAGAGCCCTCAATGTCTTCCACGGTTCCACAGATTCGATTCTTATTCCACAGGGGTTCGACAAGAGTACAACATCCAAGACTACAACACTAGCCTCATGGATACGCTGGAGATACAAGTAGAACTTTACACATCAGACAAGGCTGTTTTCTATATGTTTATGAAATTGTCTCTGTCTCATTTCTTGAAATTGTTCTCGCCACGTTTACATGACACATTTACATCTCCACCTACTGCAGCATTGGGATCCGGAAGTGTCCCAACGCTGCAGTAGGCAATCCTTATAGCAGCATCAGCCATTGAAATTAGTCCGCAATCAGCTACTGTCTGAGCTGGGGTATTTTGCTAAAAGCGGTCTCATTGGCTGATGCTTCCGTTGATGCTTGAAAAGTCAAACTTCTTAACTTCTGCAGCTAGCAACGCTGCTGAAGAAATGCAGAAGGATAGACAATTCTGTTTGGTAACGCTTCACGTCACCTACTCAAAGTGAATGGGAAGTGTTGACGCTGACGCCCCGTCTTATGAGTTGTTGCTTGATCAGATACAGTTGCGAATGTAAGTTAACAAGAATTGTTTTTATTATTTATAAAGTTTTCCATTTATTGTATTTTATTAACGTCTACCCTTACCGCAACAGTCACAGTAATGTAAAAACAGTTGCTAATGAACAGTTGTAGTTAATTAAATGAACGGAGCACAACCGTGCAACAGAACTTAGATAAGCTCGGAAAAAACAAAGCTTGAAAAAATAAATTACATGGTTGTTTTGAGCAACAGGTTTCAGCCACTGTTTTAACTCGTCTTTCTCCAACCAGGAATATGCAAACTTTATCCCATTTTGTCATCTGTTTTGCTCTATGGCAGGGCTATTCAATTAGTTTGTCATGGGGGCCAGTTCATAAAAATCATCCCAAACAAGGGGCCAGAGAGATATGACTTGCAATATAATTAATGACACAACAGCATATAAAAGCCCATATGTTGTATTTTTGCTCCTTAAGACACCCACATTCAATTTTTCTACATTAAAATGTTAATATATTGTATTTTGAAACTATATAACATCACTGCATTGTGCAATGAAACAGTGACAATTGCAAAGATTATAGATTTTGGTTGTGCAATTATATAGTCTGAAGTATAATCAATTGCTTCACGGATATCACGTCTAATGTAAATTTAAGCTTTAAATTAGGTATTTAAATGAACTGTTGTTATAATCTGTGTTTATACATACATAATCATGAGATAATATATCTCATAATCTCATATCTCATAATCAGAGATGTTTTCTACTCGGTGCGTCTGGAGTGCGCGAGCACATCGCTCTACTTTCGCATAAATATTGGCATATATTCTAATATTTGTATTAACAATATTGCACGTGGAAAAGACGCAATATGTGAACGGCCCGCTGCTATAGTTAATCCAGTATGCATGTGTATTAGCCTTGGTTTAGCTATAAGCTTGTAACTTTAAACTAGCGCACAGGTGGCAAAACTTTGTTTAGTTGCAGCAGTTTTGTTCCAGAAATGTGCATTGAGAAGCCTTTAAGCTTAAGTATCTAAATGTTTCGGCTGCTTGGAAACAGTGCAATTTCGGCCCGTGGGCCGCCAGTTGAATAGCCCTGCTTTATGGTTTTACAACGTGTGGAGAATGTCACATCACCCTCCAGCGTTTGACGCAAATTACGTGACATCACCCGGACAGAGAAGCTTGGCCAGAGAAGCTTAAGACCTCGTAAAAACAGAATTGAGACTTTTTAATACCTTTTAAGGGCCTTATTTTTTTTCATAATTGATTTATTAACTTTTAATACTTTTTAAGACCTCGTGGACACCTTGGACAAACTAGCCAGACAGTAATGTATGAATTGTGGAGCTAGCTAAATCTAAAAAAAAAAAACATCTGTATTTTTTTAGCAAGTGTATGTTTTTACTTTTATTCTTCCCATAATAAAATATACTATTAGAGCAACTCATGTTCTGTTGTCGTTCATAATATAATAAAAGTTTAATAGGTAAAACTGTCCGAGATGTGAACAAAAGCAAGTGATGCATCAAAGTTTGATTATAAAAAAATCTAGAATGGTTATAAAATCTTTAGAATAATTAAAATAATTTAGAAAAATAATAAAAATAATTCGTTTAAAAATATTCAATAATATTAATGATATGATGTAGTTTCGGAAACGTTTTACTTCTCTGTTTAACCGACTGATTTTACGGTGGTTTTTTGATGACCACCACCCTCCCACACCCCCGTTGTTTTAAAGAATATCAAAATGGCAAACACGTCAAGTATAACGACGCGATGCCAGGCAAAAGTATAAATCAGCCTTAACTGTCAATTCCCTTACAAATGAAATAAGAATAAATTATGAAAAAAGTGTTTATTTTTGGTTGAACTATCCTTTAAAGTGTTTCTGCATCAGTAAAACATAACAAAAACAAAAATGCATTTGAGCCTGCTAAATCTCCTCCTCTGAGGATGACGAGTAGCAGTCGAGTCCCAGTAAATGTCTTGTTTTTCTCTGTTGTGTTTCAGCATCTGAAAGCTTCTGTGTTCTCTCCTGTGCTGCAGTCTGTGCGAGCGGGAGGCTGTGGAGGTTTGGCAGGCCACAGAACAGCACTCGAGTCAGCGTACCTGTGTCCTGTTGCTGCCCTGCCAAAGCCACACGTGAACTGGCCACCGCCACAGCCAGCCGGGACTGATCAAAACACAACGGGGCATCCTGGTCTGGTGGTTCAGAGGCTGACGGTGTGCAAAGCTGTTGGACGTTAGTCAGAAGTGTGTGGTTTTCTTCTGAGTTCGTGTCCTCATTAACTTCCTCCTCTCTGACAAGCGTGTCAAGGCATGTTTTCTTAGCTAGGAAGAAATAATGATGACTACATTATTATGAGCATCACTTTCCATGTATGAAGCTGTCATGATTCACATGATCCTCAGCTACTGGAATATTCCTGCATGCATATTCAGCATGTTACTCATACACATGTTGTTGCTTTTCTGCTGTCTTGTGGAAATACTAGAAATTCAGCTTTATTATGATGCATTTGCAGTTAGTAGTAAGACTCTGTGACACATTTCTTTTAAAGTTTTAGAAATTATTATTATAAACTTGTATTAAGGACACTAATCAGGATCTCACTGACAGTATTATTGAAGTCAACATAGTTTAACCACTTAAACTCTGCTGCTATTTGGGGATTTCCGCCTGGATTTTGCCTACCCAAATTTAAAAGCTTCCCAAACCCACATGCAGAGGTGTAAATGCAAAAATTTGGTATCATTTTAAAGAAAACCCTTTGAATTTTCATAAAACACTATTGAAAGTGTTTAAAATAACTGTATATGTCGTCTATGTTATTATAAACACCTACAAAAACAGGCGCTTTTTGTATTTTTTTTTTATAAACTCAAATTTGAAAGTGTAACTTTTAGGTTCTGTGTGGTCTAGCGTGCTGTAATTAATTTTGCTGGTTCCTGCACATGTCTGTAATCATAGGAAAAAAGAAAAAGGTCTCTACCATAATCTATTGCATTCCAACTGATGAAAGGTGCTGTACAAGCCACAGAGACCGATCCTTGTTTACATATTTCACTATTCTTTTGTTTGATCAAACATAATTCACTGTGTTTGGACCACATCAGACATATAAAAGGATTACTTATGCACATCACCTCAAAAACAGAGGAGAATGGCCCTGAAGTGCACAGCATAAGGTAAGAGATGACAGCTGTCTGTGCTATCTGGGGCTGCTTATTGATCATGAATGTATTGTTTACATATTGTGCCATGGAAACACCACAATTCATTCAACAACTGTTTGGCATATGAATATAATTCAGTAAAAAGAATGCTAGAACTGTATGAGCACCGGCAAGAGCTTTCATTTGAGCTATAACTTGTACATGTGTCATATAAAAAATATGAAAATGGACCAATGTAAAATACCTAGCTCGGGTATCCACAATACTGTGTATTTAAGTGTAAATAACTTTTTTACAGTACAGTAAAAACCAAAGTGATGGATATGTGCATAAAATATAGATTCTACACTTTCAAACGACACCACTTACGGGGGTCTGGTGCAATGCTAGCCCTTTAAATCTGAAAGCGAAAGTCGATGACCTCACGGACCCGGTAAGTGATTAGATGCTTTATTTTATCTTTATCTTTAGGAATGCTGCAATTAGCCTTTTATTCAGTTATTAATATGTTTTTTTAGCAACAGCCATGTTTCCATCACTTAGCATTAAAGTGCATTTTGAGCAATCGCATGCAAAATTAATTATGGAAATGGCAAGTTTTGAATGAAAATCCCTTACTTCACAAAAAAATATCGTAAATAGCACATCAAGCCCATCGTGTCACCCCTTATCTAAGAGTTTTATCACTGCTGAGACATACTTTACTAAGGAACCAAAGAAATCAGTGGGGTTGATCTCATCGCTTTAAGAAATGGAAACTCTGTATAGTGCCATATTATTTTGCCACTTTCATATAAAGGTTTCAAAAATTATTATAATAATATTGCCACATTTAATTAAAAATGGTAAAATGTAGGGTAAGCAAATAATTGTATTCTAAAAAGTGTGTTCCTTGCTTTTAATGATTTTGTTACAAGTTAATGAATTTTATTTGAATAATTGAGCTAATATTTTAAATGCTTTTTTATTTTTAAATGTATATAAACATTTATAGGATTAATAAAAAAAAATTATGTATAATAAAATAGATTTGTTAAGAAAATATTTTTGAAAGTCGAGGTCAGTTTTTTTTCATGTTCATTCTGTTAATCTGAGCGACATTTATTAAATGTAAAAAAAAAGTTAAATATTTATTGAAATTTTAAATAATTGTTTTTTTATGTATGCAGTTTCAAATGAAATTATTACTCCAGTCATTATTGCTTTTATTACTATTACCATTAATAATATTATTAATAACGATGATAATAATAATAATAATAATAATAATAATAATAATAATAATAATAAAAGTAATAGTAATATTAGTAATAATTAATATTAGAGTGATTTCTGAAGGATCATTTGACTCTGAAGACTGGAGTAAGGAAGCTCAAAACTTACCTTTAAATTCACTAGAATAAATGATTTAAGGAAGCTGAATTTTATCTTTAAATTCACTGGAAAAAATGATTTTTAATGATAAACTTCTTTTAACAGTTATTTATAGCACAATAACATGTCACAATTTTACAACTTGTACTTTATTTTTGACTAAATAAATTCAGCCTTGGTGAGCCCAAGAAGCTTACTTTAAAACATTTAAAAATTGTACCGACCCCTAACTTTTCACCAACAGACAACAGACATTTTAGTATAATTTGTTGGGATTTAACAGATTTTTTTGCTATTTCTGCACAGAATCTTTTAAAAGTCTTTTTAAAAGCTGATTTTGAGAAAGTAGGAGTTGAAAACCTAACACATAAAATAAAAACAAATTTAATTTAGAATACAAATCAAATTAAAAACACTTGTTTGGTAAACTAAGCTACATTTGGACTGCATTCCCTCATATGATGCATTCCCTGAAAGACAGGAAATATTACCTTACAAATTGTATTGTACATAATCTAATCTAATATTTGCATATTATTTATTATTAATAATAATAATAATAATAATAATAATAATAATAATAACAACATAAAAACTATAAATAATAATATAAAAACTTCATAAATATATATTTGCACACATTTATATAAGTAAAAAATATATATTGCATAATGGCCTCAAAAATCTGCAGAATTCTGTGGATTTGTGATCATGCATAAATGGTAAAGGTCTTTTCACTACGTTTCACTGATTTCACTTTGAGAAATACTTTTTAGAGCTACAATTTAGGAGTCCTAATTCAATTTAGGACTGAGATGCCCATTATGTTTAAGATTTTTTTTCCTAATAAAAAGTTAGAAACTATTTTTAGCCTTAAAATGTTTTGCAAATTTTCGACTGTGGCACAATCCATAAATAATAAAATCTCCCAAAAGATGCATTAGAATTTTCCAGAAAACAAACATAAATTCATCACTTTTTCATTAACAAATTGTGAACAGCCTTTCTAACCAAACTTTCCACAGTTTCCAAGGCTTAAACATTTTCAACTTTTTTATCTAAAAGACTGAGACAAATTTGCTAGGGAAAATCAAAAGGATGCGACCTGTATTTGCAGTCCCGATAGCTAGAGATTCTTCAAGGTCTTGCTTATAACATAAACAAATTTAGTTTCTTTACATTTACGTAAAGAATTAATCTAAGCAATGACCTTCAGATTAGAAGATGTAAACAGATAAATCATAGAGATGAGACCTTCTTTTATAATCTAGTTTTCATTATACAGTTAATTTAGAACATATTAGTTAAAATAGAGAGTAAACTGCCTGTCTTCACACCTCTACAAATGGATTTTTTTACCTCACCCCGAGTATATCAGACCATCAAATAACATACATTTTTGTGTATGTTATGAGTAATAGGTATTTTTTATGTATTCTTTCTAGCCTATAACTGTGTACTAATAATGTAATGCTAGTTTTTGTAATTATGTTTTTGTTTTTTTGATGAATGTATAAAGAAGTGATCTGTTTTAGAGCATAAACTGACATGTGTTTGGGCCACTGACAGTCTCCCGTCTCCTCTTGGTATAAGCTCGAGGCTCCCAGGGCTTGTGTTTGCAGGCAGGATCTAGAGAGCGCAGTTTCTTCACGTAGCGTTTGTATTCTCTCTCTAGTTCTTCAATATGCAACCGGAACTCCTCTATTTTCCTCTCTGGGTAGTGAGATAACTGCGACTGCTGCAAAATATTCACACAGATAAAGAGAGTCAACAGGATGCACATACATTAAATTTCACTCTGCACTTTATACATTTAAATCACTCTATTTGTTATATTAAGTACTATTACTGTGCTAAACTTTTGTGCATTGGGTTTATGCAGAAAAGAAGTTCTGACTATTTAAACACAAATGTTGTTACAAAAACAAACAAATCTTGGTTTGTTTTGCTTGATAAGCGAGCAGGATATGCAAGATCACTATCAAAACCTGGGGTTGTATTGGTTTTTACTAGCCCCAAACATGTTTGATGTTTGATAGCTGACATGCTATTTAATAACAGTAGTGACATGTTTGTTCTTAAAACCATACAACTGGTTAAATTTTACAGCTTTAGTCTTATGACAATGTTTTGTAATTGGTAAGTACTAGGCAAGCATGGTTAAGATGGTCACCTGTAGCTGTATTCTCAAAATATATGAAGGCTAAAAGAGGCTCCTAATTTGTGGATTTAGGAGAAAATTGTTGCCTTATTTGCTCTCAAAGTATTTCACAAAGCCTTTTAAAAATGCTCAAACTTCCTTCTAGATCAGTGAAAAAAACTGAGTAGTGAAAAGACCAAACCTTAACTACCCTGATACGGCAGCAGTGAAAAGAAACATTTTAAAAACATTTGACCACAATGAGCTTTATATGAGTTTTGCCTTAATATTGTTGCCTAATATATAAATATAATGTACTTAATATTGCCTTAAAAAAATGTTTACAAAAATATATTTAAATGCTTTTAAAAACATAAAAAAAATATATATATATATATATATATATATATATATATATATATATATATATATATATATATATATATATATATATATATATATATATATATATATATATATATATATATATATATATATATATATATATATATATATATATATATATATATATATATATATATATATATATATATATATATATAGTGTGTGTGTGTGTGCCTGCAGGCCAACGGGAGGTTGAGGGAGAAGTTAAAAGCGCTCCCTTTCAGTTTATTTGGACCCAAGAAATGGAGAAAAACTAGTGAAAGTTTGACAGGAGCACCTGTGTCTGTTTGACGTTTCATACAGAAAGTTAAAAAAGAAAGTTAAGGAGAAATTGCTAATTCACTTTAAACCCAGGTCAGCAAAATATGTACATTTTCTGCCCCATTAAAGGCTTCTTTCGTTTTATGAGTTTAATAACAAAAGATATACTATGTATTTCTGGCTGTGAGATGTAGTTTAGAGGAAGTTGTCTGCAATTCTTCCTATTGTAAAGTCATGCAATGTGAAAGGCCCTGTCGTCGATCCATCTTGCAGTGTAAACAAAGCAGCGACAAAACGCTAGCCCAGATAGTCATGCAGTGTGAAAACATCTGTGACTTAAAAAATCATGCAGTCTGAACTCGGCATAAGTCTCCTAAAAAAATATACTGGAATTTAAAGGGTTTGTGTTGTCACCAGGGCCAAAGCAAGCTGAACTGGTGGTCTAAGCAATCGACGGTCAGGCTGCCCTTAACCCGAAAGTGAAAAGGAAGTGACCGGTTCACGAAGTAAAAGGGGGATTTGTTTTGCAGATGAAAGTGAGGACTGGGGGATGCTTAGGTCAACTCTATGGTCCAGGTCTGGGATGTCACTGGTTAAAACTTCTAGTACTCTGGATTTTGGAACTCTTTGAAACATTTTAAATAGTACATGCGAGTAAAATATAAAAATACAGTTCCTGGCTGCATCCAAAACCGCTTACTACTTAGTTTGTACTAGGGATGCAACGATTATAGATTTAAGTTGTACGATTGTAGTCTGAGAAATAATCACGGTTTTTATCATGATTATTATGCATTCATTAATTTCAAACCCCACAAGTTTAGAAAATAAGATGAAAACTCCTTTTATTTTACAGTGTTATTTATTGCTGCTCAGGAACTAATTAATACATCACAAAATAATATAAAAAACAAACAATAGTAAATTTCTCACTTTGTGCTTAAAATAAGTGAATGTTTTTGACAGAACAATAAATAAAAAATATAAAGAAATAAAAAAACAATATCTGTCTAATGCAGGGCTTGAAATTGCCAGTGCTCCCAACGTCAAAAAAGTAGGAGGATCAGAAAAACTTTAGGAGCACCCACTAAAAGTTAATGAGCACTAATGCAACTTGTATAAAAACGGATTAATTGGAGTTGAAAACAACATGAAATAGGACTAACAGAAACCAGACACAACTATTTAACTAATGCTGTGATGATATATTGATATTTGTGCAATAATTCCAAAATGAATGTCTTAAAGTTAAAGAATATTAATGATGACAAAGATGACAATAATTCTAACAATGAATTACATTTCTCATCATCATACTGCCTTGAATCTTCTTGAATGAGAGTTATCTGCTATAAAAAGTTGAAATATTACATTATGAAAAATAAATGTATGTTTTGCATCAGACAAAAAATGAAGCATTGCAGTAAGACATATTTATTTTGCACTATTCTTTTGAATTGCATGTCAATTTAATAAACAGAAAGTATGGACAAAAGAAAGAAAACTATCACCTCTGCACTTCTTTAAAAGTTTTGGTTTCGGTTTGTGTCATTTTAAATGCTCAGTCTCCTTATGCGCTGATTTTTATTTATCTGTGTACCTTAAACTTCAGCCAGTAGCAGTTCCCGCAGTTGCAAAAGCCCCCTGTCATCCCCACGAGATGTGCCTGAAAAGCAAGAGTGCGCTGCGTCGTGTGCGTGTCCCTCCATTGGAAATAACGAATTTGCACGAGCTTGCCTTAGTATGTAGCTTCAGTAATAGTTAATTTAGTGTGCATGGTTATTAGTCTCAGTGACAAACTAGCGCACAGTTTGCATAAGCAGTTTTGTTCCGTGCAGAAACACGGTGTTGGGAAGCCTTTAAGATTAATTAACTGTGACAAATTAAAATGCGGTTAATTCTGAAACCGGTAAATCGTTGTATCCCTCCCTAATATGTTCAGTTAAATTTAAACATACTACTAAACTGTTATAAAAGTACATTCTATTCAGTATGAATGGAACTCAGATGTACTACATCCACCATTTTGTCATGATCATGTGACCTGCCTGCGTGAAGTGCGTTGCTTCCCTCCCATTCATGAATTTTTTTCAGGGGGCATCATGGGACGGTGTATCGGATGCACACTTCAGAATCTCGCTGGAAGTAGTAGGTCATCCAAGTACTTCTCGCATACTGTGTAACGATTTTAATAATTTTGGACATACTACTCAGCTCGCATGCTGTTTTTAATGTACTATATTGTTTAGAAGTATGCAGACACAGCCCTAGTGTTTTTTTTTTGTTGATTTTTTTAATGAAAAAAGAAACACAAATTCAGCCTAAAATAATTCAATTTTAGCTTCTGCTTAAAATAAAATTTTGAAATCTTAGTTCATATGCATAAATAGCATATTACATGCATGTAACACACTATTTTTTAAAAAATATAACGTCAAAATATCATCATTCAGCCTAACAGACCTTTCTATGTAAATTAAATTAACAAAAATAAAAATGACACATTCTAATGTAGGGAAATTATTTAGGATGTAATACATTTCTTTCGTCTGTGACTGTAAATAACACAGATAGCTATGGAACAAAATCAATGCCTAAAGTCTTGAATTAAAAAGCTTGTTGAATATCACAAACTGAAAAAAATAATGCACCGTATTAACAAGTTCTTGCATTTTAATGACTTGAATTCCAGGGTTTGTATTTTTAGGTCCTGAAATTTAACATACCTGTTTATTTAAGCTGTGAATATTTCAACGAAAAATATTTCAAACACGTTTTCATACTTAAAAATTCAATAATTCATATTCAATTTTCAGATTTCACTTAAAAAATATTCAATACCCTTTAAAAATACGATGTATAATATTCAAAAGGTAATTTTCAGTTCATTTTATTTCAGTTCTTATATTCGCTTCCATAAATTCAGTGGATCAAATTCGACTGATAAATTTCAACATTACATCCGGGAACTGCAGGAGAAGCAATAGATTGCAGAGTGAAGATCGCAGCTGCTCTAGCTTTCACCAGCAGGTGGAGATGGAATAATGTAAGATTTTTAACCCAGTAAACAGGCGAGAAAAAGGCTAATAAAGGCAAAAAAAGTAGCATTCAATTTTAATACCAATGCCTTGGACATTATAAATAATAAAAAGTATGAGTAAAATGAGTAAATGAGGTTTTAGTCATCTATATTTGCCCTTATGTAACGGAAGCCAGCTGGTGATCGCGTAAAGCTCACTCCTGATCCAGGGACAGACGTTGTTCTGCAATCTTATCGGAGCTTGTCTCCCATGCTGGCTCGTTACCTGCTCGGACCGGTGCGGTTATGTGCACATAAACCGTCTTTTGATGAATATGATGTTACTTATTGTCTATCTTTATTGACTCTTTCTTCCATAGACGCTAAGTATTATATTGACAGCTAAAGAATATAAACGTATGAGAAACAGGAGAGAAAATATAATAATAATAATACAAAATAGATAAACATTGACAGGGCTAAGAACAATTACGATCAAAGATTTTCAAAACCAGAGAGATTTTATGAGAATGTCACAAAACAGTTTACTTGGAAATGTTAAACAGAGTTCAGGTATGATTTAAGGTTGGTTATGGATGGGGCGTCTAATTTAAAATAATTTAACATGATAATGCATTAAAGGAGCGTCTTCAGTTTTTCACACAGAACCGTCTAATATGGCATAACTATAAGGAGTATTGTTTGCGCTGTTTAAACGCAGCTATGTCAGGATTGGGATAGGTTATACATTTTCATCATTTAAATTATTATTATGATTGTTAATATTATTATTGTATGACATTTATTTGGGCTATTGCGCTTAAATAAGTCATCTGTGATTCTAAATTAATATTTCTATTTATCCTTTTATCACTCTGCCTGTCTTTCTCTTCTTTTTTCTAATTTTTGGGGTTCTGCCACGGTTAAAAGTTTGCAAAATGTCTTTAGTTTATCGCTTTTCCTCTAAAATAGAGACGAAGCAGAAGGAAAATAAATGAATTGATGAATGAATGAAATGATTGACGTTTTTATGCAGCTTGCTTTTACAAGCTGCAGAGCCAGCGCCCCACAGCAAACTGAAGAGAGGCTTGATGGCTGCCAATATATGATAGGAATTCTTCCAAAGTTTCAGATGATATCTGGGCTTGTGCATAATAATGTAAAATGAAAGTGAAAGTCATGACATTTGGCCAAGCATAAGAATAGCCTACAAGAGTGTTTCGATTATTATATTAATCATGACATATGTCATGCTTGGGCTTATATGAATAACACCTCGCTGTTTACCATTTCCGAAAGTGGAGCTGACGTCGGCGAGAAATTGCTTGTATAATTGTAAAAAGTGATGAATATTAATGGATTTCTTATATCTGTCATTTCTGATAATATAATTGATTGGTGTGAGCTTCCAACACAGCAAAAATGCATCCAGAATCCTAAACCAATAACTTTGTCAAGCAAAAATTATGATTTTATAGGCTACTGTTTTTTTTTTTTAAAAAACAAGAAAAAAGAAACTATTAGCTACCCTAGCAATTGTTTATTTAAATATGATCATCTCAAAATATAAAATAAAAACATAATGGTTTGACTTCGTGAAATCATAAAACAGACTTGCAGAAAAGAGTTAATAGAATAAATGAGCAAATACATTCTCTCCAGTAGATGGCGATTAAAGCTCAGTAATACCCCATAATGATGAACATTGAGCTGCATTGCAGGAACCCCTTAATCACGCATGTCAAACCACGCATTCTAAACATTAATCTTGAAACTAGCTTAAGTGACAACTATATTAAATTTAAACCAGTTTAAATAAGTTTATATGTTTAATAACTGCAAAAAAGATCAACATTGCTAATCATAAAATACAAACGGTCGCTGCAAAGTTATAAATAACGGTTTTCTCATTTAATACTGAAAACAAATTAAAGTCAGTTATAACTGCCTATTATCAAACCACAAGCGACTCATTTTATTACTTATCATTGTCTGCGACATTGCCACTTTTGCGTTAATACCTTTTTCTCGCCTATAGGCTACATAAACAATAATCTGGACAAACTAAGACATTTTGCAAACTTTTAACCGTGGCAGAACCCCAAAAATTAGAAAAAAGAAGAGAAAGACAGGCAGAGTGATAAAAGGATAAATAGAAATATTAATTTAGAATCACAGATGACTTATTTAAGCGCAATAGCCCAAATAAATGTCATACAATAATAATATTAACAATCATAATAATAATTTAAATGATGAAAATGTATAACCTATCCCAATCCTGACATAGCTGCGTTTAAACAGCGCAAACAATACTCCTTATAGTTATGCCATATTAGACGGTTCTGTGTGAAAAACTGAAGACGCTCCTTTAATGCATTATCATGTTAAATTATTTTAAATTAGACGCCCCATCCATAACCAACCTTAAATCATACCTGAACTCTGTTTAACATTTCCAAGTAAACTGTTTTGTGACATTCTCATAAAATCTCTCTGGTTTTGAAAATCTTTGATCGTAATTGTTCTTAGCCCTGTCAATGTTTATCTATTTTGTATTATTATTATTATATTTTCTCTCCTGTTTCTCATACGTTTATATTCTTTAGCTGTCAATATAATACTTAGCGTCTATGGAAGAAAGAGTCAATAAAGATAGACAATAAGTAACATCATATTCATCAAAAGACGGTTTATGTGCACATAACCGCACCGGTCCGAGCAGGTAACGAGCCAGCATGGGAGACAAGCTCCGATAAGATTGCAGAACAACGTCTGTCCCTGGATCAGGAGTGAGCTTTACGCGATCACCAGCTGGCTTCCGTTACATAAGGGCAAATATAGATGACTAAAACCTCATTTACTCATTTTACTCATACTTTTTATTATTTATAATGTCCAAGGCATTGGTATTAAAATTGAATGCTACTTTTTTTGCCTTTATTAGCCTTTTTCTCGCCTGTTTACTGGGTTAAAAATCTTACATTATTCCATCTCCACCTGCTGGTGAAAGCTAGAGCAGCTGCGATCTTCACTCTGCAATCTATTGCTTCTCCTGCAGTTCCCGGATGTAATGTTGAAATTTATCAGTCGAATTTGATCCACTGAATTTATGGAAGCGAATATAAGAACTGAAATAAAATGAACTGAAAATTACCTTTTGAATATTATACATCGTATTTTTAAAGGGTATTGAATATTTTTTAAGTGAAATCTGAAAATTGAATATGAATTATTGAATTTTTAAGTATGAAAACGTGTTTGAAATATTTTTCGTTGAAATATTCACAGCTTAAATAAACAGGTATGTTAAATTTCAGGACCTAAAAATACAAACCCTGGAATTCAAGTCATTAAAATGCAAGAACTTGTTAATACGGTGTATTATTTTTTTCAGTTTGTGATATTCAACAAGCTTTTTAATTCAAGACTTTAGGCATTGATTTTGTTCCATAGATAGCGGTGTTCGGTAAATGGTACTAACGTTACCTATCCATTCATGTTTTGCAGCGTCAATACCTGCAGATAGTACTTGATCTCCTTCTTGATGCTTGGCATCCACTTCTTTACTGCTGCCGCTGAATTTAACGTTGCCTGCGTGTCAAAAAGTCCATTAAAATTACATGACTGTTACTTAATGGCTGACAATCGGGTTGAAGTAATATGAAATATATGAAATAGATTTCTTACAAGCTTTGGTCTGGGCTCATGGACATCTTTGATTCGACCCTCTGAAAAAATAAACACACATTACCACACACTGACCACGTGCAAACGAGTGAGAGAAATGTGGCTTACACATTCAAGCGACTGCTTTTTTATTTTGCAGTATTTCATTTGTTATTTTACAGTAGTGTCAGTTCAACCGGTTATAAACGGGTTTCATACCGTCTCTCTCTTTCTGCAACCACAGTCGGTTCAGTTTTCCCAGCTGTTTTTCTTCGTTTCTCGCCATTCCTGCAGCATTTCCGTCAACAGGGCGTCACGTGACAGAGTGGATAGACAGACGGTCACGTGACAAGGTATGCTCGTCAATTCTTTATTCAACACCTTTTTTAAAGTAAAATATTGGTTTTACATCAGTTTTGCAGAAACTAGTAGTTCCTTTGATTTGATGGCATGTTTTCAGGCAAAAGTCCAATTACTCAAACGCATTTTATTTCCTCTTAAAGTTGCGTTGTGCATGATTTCAGCAAAACTACTTTAAAACAGACGTTTCCCAAAACTGAAGTTATTTCTCTATAAAATAGTGGGAAAGTGTCATTTGAACACATTTGGAGGAAAAGTCTTTAATTAAGCAAGTTCTTTACAGACCAAATAATCTTTAACCTATAGCACGTTTGTATGTTTACACGGGCTTACTTAAAATGTTGTGAGTTATCTAAACTTATAAATAGTATTAATATAGTAATAATATTATTAGTAATAATATTATTAGTAATAATATACTTTAGACATTGTTACGGACATTGTTTACAAGGTTTTCAAATGCTGTGTTAGAGTGACACCTGTTGACAAAACCATGAATTCATTAGAAAATTGTGTAAAATATTTCTGCTGAGCTTCAAACGCTTATTAAGATTAACTGTGGTTTTACTATATCAAAAGTCTTTTTGGGAACAAATATTTAATATGAACTACCATTCTAGTTTAGTTAGGTTTACAACACACCATGTTAGTTTAGCGAAATATTGTGTGGTTTCCGTTGTGTAACTACATGAAAAAATTCTGAGCAATTCCAGCGTTATGAATGTGATATTTGCAGTAAAAGCTCAAAACATAAATTCGCATAAACAGTAGGCTATATGTTAACATTATATTGAAACATCTGTTTATATTTGGTAAAACTACTAACCACAGTTATTATAAGATCAGAAAATCTTTAAACATTCAGTAAAATAAACATGTGTTATGGATGTGACAATAAAGTCTGCACGTTTACAGTCTACAACCTACTTTATAGAATTTCTGTGAATTAAACTGCACAACCCAAAAGAAATAATGCTAATCAAAAAGAATAAGAGTTGGCTCTCTGTAGAACAAACATGATTGATTTTATTTTATTTGACATGCTTTCATTTATGAGGTAAAAGCTTCGCTATGGATGTGACATCTCTCCGATATGAATGTGACAGATCTGAATTTGCCACTTGTGGGACTTCTGTAAATCAAATGTAATATTTTAACACACTGACAGATACATTTTTGAGTATTTTAAAGTACTGTGAAGTACTTGCATACACAAAAAAATGTTGAAACGGTTCGTCTATTTTGGTGAAAACTTAATTTATGAGTGAAAGTGCATTTTTCATGAGACAAATATATCTGGATAAAAGTAAAAAATTCTGTTAGCTTGTTTGATATCTACTGATTCAAAAACAGCTGAGCAAACGTTTTCATCAAACACGTTCAAGATTACAATTTAGTTTCTCCTGTAACATTCAGCGCCTTCATTTTACAAGGAACATCTTCTTCTTCAGCAGGGTGCTTATGTTCTCATGGGCCTCTGTGTCCCCTGCTTCAGCCACCTGAAGTGCGTTTTTCTTCACATTATTAGTAGCCTGAAGATTTGCCCGTTCTCCATTTGTCCAGTTGATCAGTCTCTGTACCGTTCCCAAATGCCCAGTCTTGCAAGCACAGTGAAGTGGTGTGTCTTTATTGTTATCCAGGGCGTTAATCTTTGCTTTATTCTCCAGTAAAATGCCAACCAGCGCCTCATGACCATGCTCTGCAGCTAAATGCAGAGCAGTCCTCCTCCACACGTTCTTATCATCCACATTCTTGCTCTTACTCGATGCGAGAAGAACACTGCCTGCTCTTTCCTTTCCGTTTCGAGCAGCGTAATGCAGTGGTGAGCAGCCGTCCATGTCTTTAGCTCCAACTTTAGCTTTACCAGCCAACAGTGCTGAAACTGCCTTAGTGTGTCCCTCCGCTGCAGCCAGATGCAATGGGGTTTTCTTCTCTCTTTCTGAGGCATTTGAATACGCTCCAGCAGCGAGAAGTGATTGTATGATGGCCACTTCTCCTTGTTCTGCCGCCCAGTGCAAGGCTGTTCTTCCCTGTTTGTCTTTGGCATGGACATCGGCTTTGGCCTCTAGCAGTTGGGCGACTGCTTCAGTGTGGCCATTTTGGCTGGCGAGGTGCAGTGGAGTGAATCCATCCTGGGTGACGGGATTGAGCTGAGCCCCCACACGCAGTAGCAGTGCCATCATGGCTGGCTGATTATGGGATGCACTGAGATGGAGAGGAGTCTGATCTTTAGGGCCACTGATGTTGGGGTCTATGCCCTTATGCAACAATATCTATGGTGGAATAGAAGGTTACAGATTTATTTATTATATTAATTAAATTTAACATGCACTTTGTGCTGACCTTAAACAGATAGTTCACCTAAAATTCTGAAAACTTGAAAATGCTGTCATCGTTTACTCGCTGTTTACTTCTTTTTAAAAACTTTTCAGAGTTTCTTTCTTTCCACATAGCTTATTTTTTTCTGGCCCACACCAGCAGCTCATCTCACAGTGAATTATGGTACTGTACATGGCTGGACCAAGTCTGGCGTCCATAGAGCAGCTAAACATTAACCATATCTGGGCTAAGTCTCAGCCAAGTTAATAATCCATAACTGGGCCTGAAATAGGCCAGATATGTTGGTGACCCATTGCACAGCGCTTTAGCTGCTATATTTTTTTCGTAGAATTTTTTACTTTACTCAAAAATAATTTATATGTATTTAAATGTGGGTCAAGATAGGCCAAACTTACGTGGCCCAGATATCAATTTTAAACATCTGGGGCAAATGCTACATTTTGCATCTGGCTCAAGTCTTGTGTGCTGCCTTAAAGACGGTGGCACCTCTGACAAAACCAGGCCATGTTTGGCCCACATGCTGTATGCCAGTGCCGGATGAATGCTTGGTGTGCCAGCTCTTTGCCAAATCTGGACCGGAATTCTTTGTTTCCCTGAGTTCTGTGAAATACAAAATAACATTTTAAAGAAGGCTGAAAAACTGTAACCATTGACTTCCATTGTAGGAAAATCAAATACCATGGAAATCAATGGTTACAGGTTTTCTTTTGTGTTCAAAAGAAGAAGAAAAAAACTTAGAATGGTTTAAAATATCATTATTTGAAGTAAATAGTGAGTAAAATGTAATTTCTAGGTGAATTATCCCTATAAGGCAGAAGTTGTCACAGAGTCTTAACATTATATTTTAAGGGCATTTATAAGTTTACTGTCATTTATGGACATTTGTTACAGGACTTTTATATTGTCTACTTTAGCGGTTCGTGCAAAACCATCAAAATATCAGTACTGTAGTTTAGATGTACACTGTAAAAAATTAGTCATGACAGCATAAGTTTTTGGTCATTGTAACTTATTAAACTAAGTGACTCATTCATTCATTCACTTTCTTTTCGGCTTAGTCCTTTTATTAATTCAGGGTCGCCACAGCGGAATGAACCACCAATTTATCCAGCATACGCAGTGGATGCCCTTTCAGCCGCAATCCCATTGCATTGCGCTTTAGCTGCACTACTGGGAAACACCCATGCACACTCAATCACGCACATACACTTCGGCCATTTTAGCTTACGTAATTCACCTGTACCCCATGTCTGTGGACTTGTGGGGTACCATGCAAACATGGGGAGAACATGCAAACTCCACACAGAAAAGCCAACTGACCCAGCCAGGACTTTAACAAGCTTTCTTCTTGCTGTGAGACAATCGTGCTACCTACTGTGCCACCGTGTTGCCAAAACAAGATGCTCCTTTTCAGGAATTAGTTCATTTGTCAATAATAGGCATGTTTTTATAAATTTTTTATGTTTTACATTCCTGTTTTGTTTCATAAACTATGGAAAATTATGCAATCTAATTATATGCATAAAATCAAATAGCTATAGTTTAAGCAACCAAATTATTATTTGTGAACCTGTACCACAAATCCAATCATAAGTGTCATTTTTTCACCTGAAAACTGGATAAATAAACTTTTCATTGATGTATACTTTGCTAGGATAGGACAATATTTGGCAGAGTCACAATTACTAAAATATCTGCAATCTGAGGGTTTAAAAAATAAGAAATACATCGAAATATTAAGAAATTGTCTTTAAAGTTGTCCAAATTAATGCTTAACAATGCACATTACTAATCAAGAAGCAAGTTTTGATATGTTTCCATAAAAAATTTCAAAATATCTTCATGGAATATGAGTTTTACTTAATATTCTAATAATTTTAGCTTAGATAATTTTGAGCCATACAATGTATTGTACCTGTGCAACATAATGCAGGTTTTATGGTCCAAAGTCACATTTTACATAAACACATACAGATATAAATATAGGTTTATAAACAAACTATACAAACTATTCTGTTTTAACAGTTATATATACAGCTAAATTTACCTGCGCTATTTGTATGCTGCCGCTTTGAACAGCCAAATGAAGACTGGACATCTGGTTCGGCAGTCTCTCATCCAGCTTGGCCTTTTTGGAGACCAGCACTTTAAAAGCCTCCCCATTTCCCAGCTCTGCAGCCAGAAGCACAGGTGTGTATCCAAGCTCATTGCAGCTATTGACATCTGCACCGTGCTCAATAAGTGCAGCCACGACCGCATCCAAGTTCCTCTGAACCGCTTTAAAAAGAGCCGCATTTATCTCAGTCTGAGACATGGACTCGTGGACATGCTGCAAAAATAGAGAGAGGAGAGACTTTCTGTTTAGCTGGAAAGCAGCATCCACGATCCTGGAGTCCACCTGAGCTCCAGCCTTCAACAAGACCGCTGCGGTTTTCTCATTTCCGTGGCGAACTGCGTGATGAAGAGCTGTTTTCCTTTGACCATCTTGTGCATCTACTAAAGCGCCGTTTCTTAGAAGAACTTCTGCCAGTGTTGCATTATCTTCAATGGCCGCCATATGCAGTACTGTTGTCTGATTCTTAAGGCTTTTCTTTTCTTCGTGCACTAGAGCTTTAACACACCCTTCATGTCCATTTTGTGCAGCCAGATGCAAAGGAGTCTTAGAAGTTTGGTCGGTAGCATGAATATCCGCACCAGCCTTCGCAAGGGCCACAGCAACAGCGGTGTGGCCCCGTTGTGCAGCTCTGTGTAGGGCTGTACGGCCCTCCTTGTCCTTCAAATCCAGTTTCGCTCCTTGTCTAAGCAGAAAATACACAATGGCCTCCTTACCGTATTCAGCAGCATGGTGTAGAAGAGTATCATTAGACGAGAGCACACTGTTGACATCCAATTCTTTAGTGAGCTCCTGAAGGAGATATAAATCGCCTGAAGATATGGCTTCGAGGATGGCATCATGGTGGTTACTTTCGGATTTGAGGATCTGCTTGTTTAAAGGCTCATTATTAGGCTCGTTTGCTGTAGACTTGGGATGGATTCTCTCTGGTTTTGAGTTTTTGACAAGGCCTTGTTTGTCTTTCTCCAGCAGATATCCTATTAGTTGTCTCCGCGCATCTCTAATGCCCTCATTAACTCCACCCACATACGTTCTCATGTGCTGGTAAAGGTCAGGTTCCGCTCTTTTCAGACAAGGGTAGAAGAAGATGCGGCAGGCACGTTCTCCTCTGGAGATCAAGATGTTTAACATCCTGGAGTTCTTCTCCTCTCGCACTGTGAGGTCGGACACCAAGACTCGGATGTCAGGTTGAAGAACTCCATTCGCAATGAGAAGATCAAGCAGGTCCTCTGGATTTAAGATGCCACTGACTAACTCGCTTCTCTTCATCTGGATGACTTCAATGGCGTAGGGATTGGTAAAGCTGGTTGAGCCCATGTCCAGTGCTTTGAAGGAAATGCTCCTGCAAAAAAGTCTTTGTCACTATGAACAAATAGTCTCTTAGCAACAATATATGAAGTATAAACAATAGTTCAAATCAGCGCTTTCCTGATATACACGATTAAAAAGAAAAAGCTGGTATGTTGATAATCTTTTTTAATAGTAAAGTTTTGCAAATAAATTTGTCTGTTTAGGCTTCCTGCCTTATCTAGAATTACAAGAAACTTGTTTCATGGATACTGTAACCATAACATGGAGTGTTTTTTGTATTTGAGTTCATAGTAATATAACAAGTTCCCTTTACACACTACCCTTGCGAAAAAGAAGTGAGCTTATTGCTATTTTCTTTGTTTAATATGCACTTTAAGTGAACTTTAAATGGATGCAAATTAAGTCTTTAACTGCTCCTCCAAGAAAATAAATTTGGATTGTATTTCTTAACTCCTTATGTCGCTAGTTAACACTTTCAATGCATTTTTTTTTCAACACATCCCATCATTTTTAAAATATCAACCTCTTCCAAGGGGTAATATGTCGGTTATAGGTAAAAGTGCTGGAAATAATACATAAATTATAAAAAAATCTGAAAATATGGTGTAAGAACAATTTTTTTAAAAACATAATCAAAATAAAACATTTTTGAATATCTTCTTTAGTTTTGTCGCTATAAAATATTTCAGATTCTCATTTAACATGTTTTTTGTTTTGTTTTTTTACAATAAAACCAAAATCAAATTAAGTAGTGCAACAGGGTTATGTTTGTTTATTTTTGTAAACCAGCAATGCTGTGTGTAAACCATTATTTAAAACAGTCCTTCTTTAAATAGATCAGGCAGTTAAAGGATTAGGATAACTAAAGTCCAAATAAAGGGACATCACACTTAAGTACATATTTCAGTTTCATGTAAATATGTAGAGTACAAGTTTCAGAGGAATTGTTACTGTATATTTAGTTTACCACAAAAACTTGCCAGTATATTTGGTAGTAGACTATCTACTTCAAAGAAAAATAGGAGCAATTATTAAAATAAAATTTAAGACTTAAGTAATATAAGTTGGTAAAAAATATAGCTGGTTAGTAAATATAGTAGATGTTCTTTACTTGAAATCACACATACAGTGTATTTATTTGTTTCAATATAAAATTGTACTCTTTCACAAGATCAAATCTCTCACAATGTCAAAAATTTTGCTCTCCAGTGTGACTTACAGCAGTGAAAATTAAACCACATTGAACTAAATTTAACTATAACTCTGAAAAATGGACTGACACAGTTTACATTTACTAGAACTTTTATGTTATGCTGCTTTGACACCATCTACAAAGAAAAATTGCTATAGAAACAAAGATGAGTTAAATATTTAACTATGAAACTGACATAATTATATTGTCGTATAATTATATCTTACCATTTATGCCAATAAGACAATATAATTAACACATAAAATATTGCACATATCTTCTTTACACAGCTAAATTTTTAAACTTCAACTATGTTTCCATATTAAATTAAACATTGGATGTCTTTAAGAATGTAAGCTAGTTAAACAGTAATAAACCAGAATAGCAATAAATAACAGACCCATATCCAGCCTATTGAAAGGGGTGATTCTTTTTCGTTTATGTTGCTGTTTTTCGCAGTTATTCAGCTAAAACGGTGCATTTTAGAGACATTTTAAGAACTAATCTTTGCTGGATCAGCTTGTTGGATGGCGATCATAACCGTACGTTTGATGCACCAAAAATATTTCCTACAATTTTGTCAAAGTGCTCATGATACTATTTTACTACGAAGTATTTATTCACAAATTTGGATTTAAACTGTAAGTTAATCCAGTTTCATAAATATTGTTATGAGATTATCATTTAAAAAAATTAATAAATAAATATAAAAAATACTAAATAAAATGCAGTCACTAAATTATTGTAGATTGATTGGCCCCACAGACGTTGATAACACTCCCCCTTTACGTAAGTACATTATTTATTTTTTTTAATTACGGATGAAGTTCTTGTAACATAACATTTAGTACTGCTTGATGACGAGACGAAACACAACTTTGGGTTCACGAGTTGTTAATTATTATTATTAAATTATTAATAATTTATTTATTAAGAAATTATTATTTTTTTAAATGAAAAAATATTTTATCTGATTGAAAACCACAAATTCCAAAAAAAAAAAAAAAAAAAAAAAAAAATATATATATATATATATATATATATATATATATATATATATATATATATATATATAAACAAATAAATGCATTTTAAAATGAGCTTTTCAGAGTATAGTTTATATATATATTTTTTAATTCATTTATTTATTTATTTTGCTGGTTTACTAACAAGGGCCAAAAATCTCAATGATTTAGTGTATGTATTTTGCAAAAAGATACATCAATAGAAGAAGCTGTATTGATAATATTGTGGCTCAAAAAGAAATATGGATAAACTATATTATATATATATTATTAATATATAGGATATGTATAGTAAGTGTGTGAGGTCTTTTGTTCATTTTGTCCATGTGTTTGTGTTTTAAAACAAAATATTGATTTTTAATTGGTTTGCACGTAAACTTGCTAAATTATTTAAAGGAATAAACTGCAATATTCTAAGAGTAATTAATGAAATGTATTAAAACCACATTATTTTATTTACCAGAAGCAAAAATATAGCATTTCACTGAATTCATTATTTTTGTGTGCCACCCCAAGATTTGGTTTGGCCTCAAATGGTCATTCCTAAGAAAATTTCTGGGGGTTCCAGTGTCATCATTAAAAAATATATATATATAACACTATATATATATGGTATACACACACACACACACACACACACACACACACACACACACATATATATATATATATCACCATATATATATATATATATATATATATATATATATATATATATATATATATATATATATATATATATATATATATATGGTATAACTTGTGTAGCGATGGGAAAATAAAAACTGGCTAGCACATCCACTTTCCTCCATCAGAATTGTGCGAATAATTACTTGAATAATTAAAAGTTATCTTTGTCTTAAAGCCTTCTTCTATCCATGATTTTCAAAATTTATAATGACATGGCAGTCGAAAAACGGTATAACAGAGCTCACATAGGGGTCAAATTCTGGACGTTCTCAGTGGAGGGAGAGGGGGTCTTTCGAACCAGCCTGTATAATGGTTAATAACAAGTCACGTTTCAGTGACTTTCCTCATATTTGTTATTGAAAAGGTGATTGTTCTGTTATCTACTGTGTCCTTGCTTCACTTTGTGTCATTGTATTGCATAGTATAATGCCCAGGTCAATGATCAATCCCGTCCTTTCCGAAACTAAAAGTGTCCTGAAAGTCTGTTGGTGGGTCGGTCTTATGGAGATTAGTGTTAGGAGTTCCTCTTCCCGTAATACACGCCCACTACTGCAGATGACGTAGGTCTTCCGACCACGCGCTTGCCTAATATGGCTAGGTAGTGCCACTTTTCCGGTATGAGGTCATCGTTTGCCAAGTTTGGCCAGTGAAATAAGAGGATCTGAAAGATGCTAAATATTAATTCGTGTCGGTGACCTGAATATAAAATCAGACTTCTGATTGTGTATCATAACACACATCAAAAAGAAAGGAAGAAACAAAGAAAATAGTAATGCTGGTGCCATTTGTAAACAAAGATTTTGAATTTATTCGATAAACAAAGAGAGCATATCTTATATATTTTTTACATGTATGATATAATTTATTTCTTATGTAAGGTATAGACGTTATTGCACCTCTAATGCGTTCAATTGGAGGTGTTTTTTTTTCTCTCTAAGACAAAAGTTACTTTTTAAAGTGCTTATAAGAAACCAGGGGTTCAGATTGCAGAATTTAGTAGTGTCTTAAAAGCCCCAAAACACAATAGGAGAAAATGAAATCACATTATAAACTAGATTTCTGTCTGAGAGCCTGCTTTAAATTCACCAGGCGCAGGCCAATGGCGCCCTCTTCTGGTTCTACTGCTCAAACTGCTTCTCAAACACGGTCAGGGATATTGGTGTCGTACTATTTTACCACAATGCTAAGTGAATCATTGTCCTTTTTTGATAATTGTTGTTTCTTTCAAACAGATTTACTTAGACTACAGTCTAAGTTTATATCACTATTATGGGTAAAATTGTAAGTTCTAATTTTTTACATAATAGTTTACTAATTTTTTACAGCTTTTACATTTTACTGAAGTGCTTTTACTGAACACATTTTGCAAGCAAACATAAGAACGGACCCTTGAAAACATTTGTCTCTGCACACTGCAGACACAAATATGAGCCCATGACTAAAGGCATGCATAATACTACTTAAAGTTCACCCCAAAAAGTTCAATTCTGTCATTTATTTACAATTTAGTTACATGTTTCAAACGTTTATGAGTTTCTACAGTTGAACACAACATTTATTTTAAATAATGGTGGAAGCTGACAATCCTTACCTTTTACAGTATTTATTTTTCTATTGAAGTCAATAGTTACAGGTTTTCAGCTTTCTTCTAATATGAATAGTTCAGATGCAAAAATCTCTAAAAGCTGTTATAAATTTCTTAATTTTTTTATCAGTCTCTTGTATGTAGGTTCAGTATTTTCAAGTTTATGGCACAGAATATACTCTTTTGAAAGTCTTTAAAATTAAATATGTCGACAGAAACATAGGGGTCTGAATAAAATGCTGATTTTGATGAAAGTTTAAGATGGCATTTAGAGGTTTTGCATCTAAACTCTTTATATATTCATATTTTGCGTTGTTCAACAGAATAAGGAAACTTGTTAAGCTTTGAAACCACTTGAAGGCAAGTAATATAGTGAGTAAATAGCAAATAGTGAGTCAATTTCTTATTTTGGGGTGAACTATAATTTACAATGGGTGTTTATTATTTGCAGCATTATTTGCCTATAAATGTTAGTAAATCATTTTCATCAGTTTTAACATTTGATAGCCTAAATAACACACTATTGTTATAAGGAGTATTTTTAAATTTCAACCATTTATTAATTTAATATTAAGTCATTGTTGCTGGTTAAATTGTTAAAACTTGTATACATCTTCAACTTCTACAATTTTTTTTAACATATTTGCAGGCTAACACTAACCTTAATAAACTTTTGTTTCAGTTGACACAAAAATGAGGCCATGATTAAAGGCATTGGTCTATTTAGTACTTGACTGTGTGATAATTACTTGATAATTTCAGCATTACTGATTTAAAGAGTCAATCAAATTATGTGTCTGCTTTATTTTGATGTAAAAATGTTATATTAAGTTTGCATTTAACCTTTAGCAATTAAGCATGTATTTATAATGTTATTATTTTTAATTACTGTAAGGATGTTTTTTGACACCCTTTTTTCCCAGTCCTGTCTGTGGACTTTACAAAACAGCCAGTCTCTTCCAAAACATGTTATTACATGTTTGTCAATTTGAACACACACACACATACACACACAAGCGTCATTTCCATTAAGACAACAGAGACATTGTTTTTCATTTGACATACTTTATTACAGTTCATAAATATTGATTAGTTTCTGAGGTGCTCAGAAAACAAACATAAAAAATTATTGTACTTTACTTACAAATGGTAAACTTAAGTACTCCTGGTTGATCATATTTACAAATAACAATGAGTGAAACCTCATTAATGAACTTTTTTTTTAGAAAAAGAAACTGCTTAAGTTGGACTAACTCAAAAGGAAAAAAGTCGATTTCCGTTCAATTTAAGAACAACAAAAAAAGTACAATATGTAGCTCAGAAGTCAGGCAGCTTTTTTATCAAAAGTTTAGCAGACACAACGTCCTGCTTGGTGAGCCAGTATCCCTACTGTACGGCAGTCGCGTCTCTGTTTTACTCCTATAATACTGAGTGCTCCTTTGAAGCGTATAGGTCCATGCACAACCTGGTCGATGTGAACAAGGATTTCGTCAGAAAGTAAAACATGTAACAGAGTGAGTCTCATGCGCTCTGCGTCTCTGTCGGACCGAGTGAAGTTTTGCGCTCCTCAAAAGTCCAGTCGGATCATCCTTTAACGGCACGCGGCCGGCCGGACGGTCCCGGTCCCCGCGGGCTCTGTCGCGCCAGATCGCAGACATCAAGCCCCTGAAGTTTGTTTATGTGGCTGAACTCAAAATGTCCTTCGGCTCTCCTCAGAAGGTTTGCAGCTGTTGTGTCAACATGAGCTGGCAGCCGCTGTTGACGTGGTTCATGACTTTCTGCTTGAGCTGTGCCACTTGCTCGCGCAGCATGTTGGCGGTGGACGCGAGCTCCGAGTTTTGCGACTTCAGGGTCTTGACTTTGTCCTCCAGCCGGGAGATCCTCTCCAGTTTCCTCTTCCGGCATTTGGACGCGGCGATTCTGTTTCTCATGCGCTTCCTCTCGGCTTTAATCCGCTCCTGGCTCTCCATGTCGATAGGAGAGAGCGGTGGGGTCTCGCCGGGCATCTCGGGCACCGTTTGGGGCTCCTCTTTCAGGGCCTGGAGGCGCGGGTGCTGGACGGGCAGCTGCGGTGGTGCGCTCGGGAAGCTCATCGCGGCTGGATTGGCCGAGCTGCTGCTGATAGCAGGGTTGAACGTGTTCAGATCCGCGTAAACCGGCGGATCAGCGCGCATGGCTGAGCTGTAGACCGCACCGCCCGCTATGGACGAGACCGGTGCCATGCTGCTGTTGATAGTAGTTTGGGGAGCCGAGGTGACGTTGGGCATGTGCTGGTGGTGCAGCTCAGCCAGTGCCCTCACAAAGCCCTCCGCGAACCCCTCCTGCTCATCCGTCACGTTCTTGGGACACAGAAACTGGGTCGGAGTTGGCGTCGTGGTGATCATGCCGTTGCTAGACTGGATGATGAGCCTCTCCAGCTCCGGTGATGCCAGTTTGAGAAGTCCCACGTCGGGAGAAGTGAGGATATCGCTGGCTTTGGCCCTCAGGTGGGGCTTTAGGTTCCCCGCGGGGTCGGACAGATTGAGCGTCATGTTGTGTTTCAGAGCCTTGTGGTTGTATCCAAAAGTGGCGCTGTCATGCTGAGAGAAAGCGCTGTTTAGAGAGTCATCGTAGAAAGTAGTTTCCATCTTGGTAGACATAGAAGGCAAAGCGAAACTTTTAGTTCAGAAGCAGTCTTTTAGGCGCTGTTAAGCACTGTCCGCGTTCAGTAACGAGCGCTGCGGTGTTTGGAACAAAAGCGAGAGGATTGGAAAAGTTCCTCAACTCCCCGTCCCGCGAGAAACTTACTGCGTAAAGTTATCGCCAGTGTCACGGGCTCGTCTCCTCCTGCCTTCCGCGGATAGAAAGTTCTTCCTCCGCCGCTGTCGCGCTTCTCAGACACCAGCAGATAAACAGTGCTTAGCCGAAGGCTTATTTATGTTGGTTTGAGTGAGGTGTTTCACTGTGGCGAGGTCTGTATACTCTGAGCTTCTCCAGCGTGGAGGCAAACCTTATCTGCTACCGCTGCCCCACTAAAAATAGAAATGATGTAATGCGCGCAGCCTCTCATTGGCTGGAGGCGTTTTACTGGGCGTGTCACAATTTCAGATAAGGCGCGTTGCCTAGACGACCACCCAGAAGATTCTACTCGCGGTGCCTGATGGGATGAGGTAATGCTGTAAAGCAGTGCATTGTGGGATTACGTATTGTTTTTGAATATCTGGTTACCCGCTTAGCTGTTTTAGACCGTGGCGGGATACAAAGAAGCAGAGTAATGTACAACGCGCCACTTTTAGAACTTAAACTTTACTATAAGTTTGAGAAGAAGAGGCAGAATAAATGTGTGCCGCTGTATGTTTGAGAGTTGACCAATTCTTGCGCGAGTTTCGCAAGACGCGGCCATTCTTTAACAACAGCAAGTTCCAAACACTCTCTGGATCCAGTTTAATGTATTGCATATACATCAGTAAGGTAAAAAATATATATTAGAAATACAGTTTGGAGTCAGTGAAACTAATTTCCAACCTTACAATAAAATGTTGAGGGAGATTTAAAACGAAAAAAAAATAGAAGAAATGCCTTCTGAAATAATAAATTAAATAAGCATAACTTGATGTTACTCATTTTGTTTGAATATAATGTTAGATTAGCTGATTAAAAGTATTTTTTTTTAATCAGTCGTTGAAATATATTATGAATTAATTAGTATTTGCTAATTTTACTCTTCTTCACTTCCAGCACTCCCTTGTTGGCCCCCTGGGGGTCCCCGAACCCTAGTTTAAAAACCTCAGTGTTATACAGGCATACATAATTTAATCTGGCACGAAGAAACAGGGCTATAGTCTGCTTTTTTATGCCAAAGTGCATTTGCTCCGTCAGCCAATGGTCTAAAAATGGGGGCGTTTCTTATTGTGGAGTGACAGCGTGCCACAAAGTCCAGCCGCCGTATCCGTGACAGTCCCTAGAGATCCTCTCAAAAGTGCAAACAACCCTGTTAAACGTCACTGCGTCAACCACAACCACAAACTGATCGAATATAGCGTGACAGCTGACAAGTGACGTTTCAGTTTACTTTCTGAGATTTTTACTGACGTTGCTTAAACGTATGTAAAGACACAATAGCTAGTTTATTTGTATTTATAACAACATTAGTAAGATAAATATACAGGTAATGTTGAGATGGACATTTGCAAGAATGGTCGTTTTTATTATTGTTTATTTTATTAATTAGTTTTTGTTATGAGTACATTAAAATATGGTTGATTCTACTGTTTTATAGCATATAGGTCAAAGTAAAGAGAAGACAGTTTTTTTGTGTTACTGTTACTCTAGCACTTATTGATGGTCTCTGACATGTTTCACTTTGTTACAACAGATCAAACACTCGAGCACAGTGCCACTGGATACAAAATATGGACTTTATACACTGTTTAACAACCTATTTATCTTGTGATGATCATCAGTGGTATTTCTATCACTTTTCTCATATATATATATATATATATATATATACACAATATAAAATATTTGTTATATATATATATATATAACAAATGCACAAAAATCAAATCCCAATACTTAATTATTTATTAATACTTTTAAAACAAATGATTGTTATTATCATACACATTAAAATCATCTAAGATCTGGCTTTTTTATGGATTATGCAATATTTACTGGAAGCCTAATTGGAATTTCTATTGGATTTTTATCATTCATAGTTCAAGTGCACAAAGGTCATACGAGGGTTTTATTGTAAATTAAAGGTCATGACCAGATTGAGGCCTCCAGCATCCTCTTTCTGATCACCGCAGTTGTCTGCATCACCGGTTCAGGCAGCAGGGGATGTCCAGAGTTACAACAGAGAGAAGTCAACCCTGTTTCTGTACTAGCCAGAAACTTGTTTGGGCAGCACAACCCAGACCAAACGTAGAAAATGGCAGCTTGCCAATGAAACTAGTTCCTCACGCTGCGACGGCTTGCTTCTTTCCTTATTTAGCTTTCCTCGTGTTCTCATGTCACCTTTCCTACTGGTGTACTTTGTTACGTGTTTGGCCGTTACGAAATCTAGGTGTACATTTCCTTTTATGCCACATGTTGTGTGCAGTGTCATCCAGCCTGTACAGTTGAGCTTAAAGTGACAGCTCATCGTTACCACAACATTACACTTTTAAAGTGAGACAATAAACTCTAATACATTTTTCTTTATTTATTTTTTATATATTTGTGTAGGTATATTCGAGAATGTGAATGTTTGTCACTATTAGATATTTGTTTCATGTGTGCAATATTATCCATTCCGTATAATTGAACTTAAAGCGACAGCTCATCATTACCACAACATCACAGTTTTACAGTGACAGTAAGCTCTAATCATTTTTTTATTTGTATATACATATGTAAAAATATATGTGAATGTTTATGTCACTATTAGATATGTTTTATGTGCATAGTTTCAAGCTAAAGGCAACAGCTCATCCTTATCACAACACAGTTCTACAGTGTGACAGTAAACCCTTATATATATATATATATATATATATATATATATATATATATATATATATAATGATTATATTATGATTGTAAGCAAATAAGAAAATGCGAATGTTATCACAATTAGATAAATGCTTAATTTCTGCAATACTACCCAGACTGTAATTAAACTTAAAGTGACAGCTCATCATTACCACAACATCACATTTCTACAGTGCGACAGTAAACCCTATATAATTTTGCTTTATTTTTATAATTATTTGTAATAACATAAGAAAATATTAATGTTTCTGTCACCATTAGTTTTATGTTTAATTTGTTCACTATTATCCAAACTGTTCAACTGAGCTTAAAGCAACAGCTTATCAATACCACAACACCACAGTTTGACAGTAAACCTTGATATCGTTATTTTTTTATATACGTTGTTAACTATATACAAGAATGTAAATGCTTACATCACTATTAGGTATATGTTTGCATGTGTACAGTATTATCCAGAAGTTTAATGTGACAGCTCATCAACATCACAGTTTGACAGTAAAACTTAAAATAGTTATTATTTTTATATACGTTGTTAACTATATACAAGAATGTAAATGTTTATATCACTATTAGGTATATGTTTGCATGTGTGCAGTATTATCCAGAAGTTTAATGTGACAGCTCATCATTACCACAACATCACAGTTTGACAGTAAAACTTAATATAGTTATTATTTTTATATACGTTGTTAACTATATACAAGAATGTAAATGTTTATATAACTATTAGGTATATGTTTGCATGTGTGCAGAATTATCCAGAAGTTTAAAGAGACAGCTCATCATTACCACAACATCACAGCTCTACAGTGCGACAGTAAATCCTAATATAAATTTTCTTTATTTTTTATATACATATGAAAGTATATAAGATAATGTGAATGTTTATGTCACCGCTGGATATATACGCTTCAGTGTCTGAGCCACCCAGGTTGACACTGGTATGGACAAAACTTGCACCCATGGAAAAAGCAATTATTTATACATCAGTGTATATACTGTAATCTTTAATATGGCTGTTAGGTTAATATCAGATATCCATGGGCTGTGCATGGTGTGTTTTCTTTGACATGTGGCCTGTCGTTATTTGCCTCTGGCGGGCCGCTCGTCTCAGCAGTGGTCCGTCAGTCTGTGAGGAGCGGGTCTTGTGTAAATATCGCCCTGTTTCCCACCTCTGAGACGGGACTTTAGTAATTGCCCTTCACATGCTGAATTTGTGAAAACTGAACACACAGTGCTGGATTCATACAAACATACATGCTCACTCAACTGTAATTTGCTGTGTTGTTAATCAGAGTAAAAGTTTTTGCTTTTGTTAAAGGTTTCTGAGTGCCAGTACAGCCATGTTTTCCATGACGGTTAGTTGAATAGGAACTTTTTCTTTTTTCTTTGAACTTGTTCGTCCATTTATAACATCCAGGTACACTGTGTTCTGGGTCACGCCTAATAAGAAAACAAAAACAAAGCTGTTTTTGGTAAATAAGTGTATTGTGAGTACTTGGCATAATACTTATTTATGTCTCTGACCTCTGTGGATATTTGTGTATAACAGTTGAGACTGGTAATTTAATGCAATCTAAATAGTTACTGGAAAAAGAAAACGTTAAACAATTTTAAACGTTCAATTCAATCCAATTCAATTCATGTTTATTTCTTTTGTGCTTGTACAATGTAGATTGTGTCAAAGCAGCTTAACACAGAAGTTCTAGTAAATTGAAACTGCCAGTCCAGTTTTTAGAGTTGAAGTTGTTGAAATTGAACACAATGGATATAATTCGTCTACAGTTTTAAGAATTCATAAGTAGTAGTCTTGATGTAGTCTTCAAATCACAGTGAATTTAATCTATTTAAATAAACAGTTCATTCATTAATTTTCTTGTTGGCTTAGTCCCTTTTTTTAATACGGGGTCACCACAGCAGAATGAACCGCCAACTTATCCAGCAAGTTTTTATGCAACGGATGCCCTTCCAGTCGCAACCCATCTCTGGGAAACATCCACACACACATTCACACACACTCATACACTACGGACAATTTAGCCTACCCAATTCACCAGTACCGCATGTCTTTGGACTGTGGGGAAAACCGGAGAACCAGAGGAAACCCACGCGAATGCAGGGAGAACATGCAAACTCCACACAGAAACGCCAATTGAGCCAAGGCTCGAACCAGCGACCCAGTGACCTTCTTGCTATGAGGCTGCAGCACTACCTACTGCGCCACTGCTTCACCCATGAACACAGGCATAAAATATGCACTATTTACTCACCCTCAAGTGGTTTCAAACCTTTTTTTTCATTCCTCTTAAACACAAAAGAATATATTTTAAAGAATGTCATATTAAAATGCTATGGAATTCAGTTTCTTTCGACTTTCTTCAAAATGTC